GAAACAGGCGACAGCTACTCCTGGCTATCATTGATGCTGCAATTTCCTGCCAGGTCCTCGCGCTGGGACTCATCGTTGCCGGAATCACCTTTGCAGCAAGCTGCCCGGGACCCAGCATGACCCAGCGCATGCTAAGTTCGGCAGCTCCGAGGCCCGAGACTGGGAGCATTCCACACATGCAGACACATGTTGTACCGGAATCATCTGCAAACCTGTGGCATGTACGCAGACCTAGGTGATCAACGCTCGTTCGTGGCCGCGACCGTGCGCCCGACCCAGGCTGGGCAAGAAAACTGTTTGAGGCTTGTTGGCTCCACAGACTGAAGTCCATAATCACTACTCCAGCTGGCAACAAGGTCGATTCTGCAGCAATTCTCACTGTGTTGGAAGGGCCTCCAATCCACGTGGTCAGTTGGCAGTTTGCCCGTTTCAAGGTAAGCACGCCAAAATAAGTATGCCGAGGTCATGCAACCACTCGAAATCATTTCCTGGCCGCTAGGAAGGGCCCCAAAACATCTCAGTGCACCGTTAGTCGCAGAGTGCTGCTCCGGAGGTGACTCGGTCCGTGGCTGCAGCTCAGGCTCCTTAAGATGCCAGTGAGTCTCGCATGATTCATTGGCTCTCAGCTGAAGTGCCCCAGGCGCATCCGTCCATTCTTCGCCCGGCTGCTTCAGCATGGCCAGCTGCCATGCTTGCAGGGGTCTGAGCTGGCAGTCATGAAGCCACCCCGGCCTGGTGGCTTCAACATCTTCAACATTCTTCAGATGCCATATGTACGATGGTTGACGGTCCGCACCCGTCTTGTCGTATCTTTCTGCTTCCGGGCTGAGGCAACGGTTGCCATTGCCGCCGCTGCTATGCGTTCGACACCGAGCCGTGTGCCCCGCGCGCAGGCGCCTTTGCGCCCCATCTCATGAATGCGACTCCCGGGATACAGAAAGGCAAGCACTTTAGGTGCAGCCAGAGCCGGCTTTAGGACTTTACATGTAAGGTTAGGTTGATCTGAGGATTGCGCTGAAGCTTCAACATGTTTACGGAGTATGGGCATGGCCGACACGCATTGTGCAGCTCCTGTGGGTTCTGATTCCGCTTTGGAATTGGATTAACTAGATGCTCCAATCGTTGACTGCAAACGAGGTGTAAAACACTTGCATGCTTCGCCGAAGCATTCTGCGAAGCAGGTAGTGATCACACGCTGCCTGCCCAATGTTTCTCCGATGCCACAGGCAGGAGAATTGCATTTGTGGAGCATCACGGCAGTCTGAATGTCGATGAGGGCCATCGGCCCGATCACATCAATCCTGTTCAACCCTGATTTTCTCGCAACATGAACTCCAGCCGGTGGTTGGCCGTCAGGCGCTAGCTTTTGTTAAAGCAGCTGTTTTTCCTTCACTGTCCCGGTCTGCCTTCCGCGTTGTTGACACTGAGCTTGTTGCGCTTCACAAAGGCCCCGAAATGGTTGCTCCTTGATTAGAAGTAGCGGTTCACAAAATGAGATGGCTCGCAGACAAGCGGACATGGGGAATAGTGTGTCTGGAAGACAAGTAACATGAACAGTGATTGCTGCGGTTGCGAAATAGTCGAAGGATGATCCTGGCAGTTTCTGAAAGGCACTGTCAAGTTTTTGTTATTTGAGAAGCTTTAATTTTGATGCTAGTTCTCTAGATGCCTGGAAGATGTTGTGAGCGGTAGAGGTCTCCACTCAATTGACAACTGTGACACCGCCCATGCCGGAGTGGAATGAGGAGCGGTTCCCGAAGTGCAGTGGAACCACCTCGGGAATCTTCGGAATGACGGAACCCGAACATACCGGAACCTTTGGACATGCTCTGCCGGCAGGACCTGATCTCCTTCGAGATGGCGGAGGGCACCAGTGCTGCAGAGCAGGCAGGAGCTGGATTCCAGCTGGATCATACTGGCCAAAGCGAAAGCGTCTCCGTTGCAGCAGTGCGAGTGTGAGCCCAGAAGCATCGAATGAGGCTTCATAAGGCTGGCCTTCAATGCACCATGAAGTGTACCCTGAAGCTATTGCAATGGATGTCCAAGATGCAAGACTCGTAGAAGAAACCTGAAAGCTGCTGGAGATGAAGGCCAACGCCCCGCAGAGCAGTGCTCCTGTTCACAGTTTGAAGCCCAGACACAACTTACTGCTGTTTGTACTAGGAGATCGCATCTGCCTGGTGACCGTGCTTCAGCCCTTCCAGCACGGTCTAGTAGCCTAAGGCCCGCGCCCGCGCCCGCGCCGGTCTCGCCCCTCGCGTCAGGCCGGGGTGGAGATGGAAGCGAGGGGGTGTTCGGTTAGGTGCGGTGAGGCGGTGTTTGGGGGCCATGCAGGCTCGTGCCAGACGTGAGCATCGCCGCGTAGGGGCGCCGAGTTGAGAGATGCCTGCAGTTTGCGCATAGGCCAGGAAGTCCGACACAGGGCAGTTAGTCTAGGGCCGTCTACAGTATACTCAAAGCGCTGCAGTTGCAGATCAAGGTTTGATGGGCATGTAGCTCTTGAGTTAGTTTCTTGAGGTTCTCGGACCTGAGCCATGAAGGGTTCCACCATGTGCTACCCCGAAACCAGCAAGTGGACAGGATGCTGAATCCAAAAGTGTCACTGCAGCTGGTTTCATCAAAAACACGATACCCGAAGCCAAGCCGGCCAAGTCTCGAACTGCAAAGACCGAACATTCATGCATTTCATGCACATGAGTTGCAGATTGCGGATTTAGCTGCGGGACTGAGAGCAACCAAGATCGGCAGCCGCCTGGTGCAGCGAGACTACCTGTCTCATGCCAGCCTGCCTTCCTTCGAGCCAAGCAAGGCGAAGCAGACATGTCCGACAGTTGCTGCAAAAGAGACTGGAGGCTTCTTCTTGACTCCATTTTTGCACAGGTGCCACTGGTCTTGCAAGAGGCCATGCAGCATGGGCCACGCCCACGCACGGCCTCCGGGCGCGAGCTGCTGGGCATCATCAGGACAACATGACCCCTGCACACGTTTTCAGTCTTCTGTTTCTTGTCGTTTCTTGCAGTCACTGCTTGGTCACTAGTCTTTTATGAGTTGCGACTTATCTCCTGACATGCTTTGTTTTTCTCATATTCTTGGCAATAGCTGGTTGATTGATGCATTCGTCACTGAAGTTTGAGGTCCAAGCCTTTGGTCGAGGCTCGAAAAGCATCGTCCAGTCACGATGACCGACTGCAAAGACGTATCGAGAGCGCGGTTAGGCCGGTGTTAGGCCGGTTAGGCAACGGTTATGCACACCTGTCATGGGGAGACACGTGTCTAAGCCAAATCATGACATTCTACCATATTGGACGTATTCTGCCCTTCTTCCTTGTCCAGGCTCCGGGCCTATCTGCATCCCTAGACATTGGCCGGGTTCACAGATTCGTGTGCACAAGCGCCCGGGGGGCCTGGGATATCGAGATATGTTGTCAAAGTCAGATCGCAATACGCCAATCGTGCAGACCTTGGTGGTAAGTCCGCTGCTAGAGTGGGGCGTGATCGGTCTGGGACAATGCCAGGGAATAGTGTGCTCGTGTATGTGTGTGTGTGTGCAGACTATGTACATGAGACCGTGACAGAGAACGCTAACTTTTCTAACAAAGCTATTTGTTCTCGGGAAGGGAACTCTCAATGCACAACAGCTGAATAAGTAAGTAAATGCACACTGAATGATTATATATATACACATGTGTATATACATATATACACACATATACATATATACAATGTGCATGTATATATATATATGTGTGTGTGTACATATCGATATTCCATATACATGTGTATGCATATCAGCTGTTCTCCACACTTGATCCCGTGGGGTGGATGGCCGGTGAAGTGAAGCAAGAAGGGCAAGCAAGGCCTAGCAATGTGTGGGCCGTGTGGGCTGTGGCAAGCGTGATGATGCAAGCAAGATGCCTGAGTTGCATCTGGGTCACAATGAATCTACGCTCATGTTCTGTGTGACCAACGGTTTCAATTCAGCGACTCAGGATTAAAATCATTCAATGTGGAACGTGGCAGCCTCATGGTGGCTGCAAACAGATGAGCTTTGTTTTCAATCTTCAAGGACGCATGCTTGCAGGGTTTTCTCGGGGAAGGGGTGACACTTTTCGTTCAGCCAGCTGCTTCAATCGCACAAGGCCATGCGTGGGGATCTTTGGGTGTCAAGTCGTGATGCTTCATGGACGTGCGTCGACTGCGATTCGGCGGTAGTTTTGAGGAGACCAGTATATAGTTCGCAGTCTGCGCTGGCCAATCTTACCCCGCAGGTTGATGTACTTAGCAGCCTTGAGTGTCAGTGCCTTGAGGTACAGCAAATGATTCAAATCATCCGTGAACATGTCTTATCGTGGGCACTGACCTCGGAGACCTGTTCGTATTGGTTGCTTTCGGCACAGATTCGGATAGATGCCAGTCCACCTCGCGATCTGATTGCGTGTGATACCGGTTATGCCTGTCAACGCTTACGCAGTGTTTCGTTTCTTTGAATCTGGGTGAAGCTTTTTGCACAGAGGTGTTCTTCCTTCGATGAAGCCACGGAGGCTTGGGTGACAGCTGGGTTGGGCTGTTTGAGGCAAGCACTGGGCTCCTCGCCGTTCCGGATTGTTCACTTCCTTCGCTTGCTGTGCCAGGGCAGTCTGCGTCGCTCAGCGGGTCCGGCCCAGAACACACGATGCTGTAGGGCTGTAGGGCCTGTGGGAGATTGCAAGCGCCCGTCTTTGTTTCTATAGTTCCCGTCAGAGCTGCCTCTGCTGACCTCTGATGCAAGAAAATTCGTGGGGAGATTTGTCAGCCAATACCATGATGGCTCAGGTCAGAAACCTGTTTCTTCGTCAGTTCTGGCACTCAGAAGAGCTGCCAACACGTCGTTAGAATTGGAGGATGTAAAGATCCGTGAATTGTAGGTTGTGGAGTCTACAGAGAAGCATTCTCTGCTGTGGCATCCCCTCCAATCTGCCAGAAAACGTCTTTTTTTATGTGGCGGCGATTTGACCAGCTCGGAAGCTGACAATGCACCCATGTGCATTTATGTGCTGTGACTTGCACGGATGCAAACCCCATGAGTCAAAGCTGCGTACCCGACCCACGATACCAACGAAGCGCCATGCAGAAGCAGCATGGCTTGATGTTCTCTTCGATCACAGACAAAGCCTGGCCAAAGCGTCCACACGACTACGCCGGTTTTTGTCACAGTTTGATTGCTTGCCTTGCCATGGTCCACGCTGTCCATGGGCAGTGTTCCTCGTGGCGCTGAAGGCTTGAGTTGCCGCAGCATGAGCAGCTACAGCTTTTGGAAAGAATGAGTAAGAATGACTCGAAACTCCGCCTTCTGATCCTGCACTGTATGACAGTGTTTTTTACTTGCCAGTTGATCGAGTCGAGCTTTCTGCAGGACACGATGGCTTGGTGTTCAGATTGTGCGCGAGAGGCGCATGAAGGCAGGAGCCCTGCAAGGCAGGGGTGTGGACTAGTGGAATCGACACGCCCCCTTCTTCGCGACAGATACGGCATCAACCTTTTCAGCTGCCGTCGCCGCGTGTGGCTCGCTGGTCTCAGGGAGTTCCGCCCCCAGCAAGTGTTCTATGGCTACATGTGGCGACATGCCATCTCAAGTGGCCCAAGCCTGTACTGAGACTTGCAATCCAAACTTGTTGTGTGACATGGTTGATGTGATTTTTCTTTGTGCGTGGGTGTGACTGCTTGACCTCATTTGCCACTGGCAAGCATCGAGCTCACGGCTTTAATTAGCCACTAGTCTGATGCATACAATCAAACAGGAGTCGGGCTGCTGCCTGCAGAGCTGCGATGAGCTAAGGCAACATCCACACTACTCCCCCGAAGGTCTCTTGGCCAGTGGAATCTGTCCTGTTGGACGGTAGGGCATCTTGGAAGAACCGACAATTGTGCCTTGCGCATGGGCTTGCGCTTGTGCACTTGCCGCCTTTTGCCGAGTTCTCAGGCTGTTGCTCCGCCGGCGGCCCCGTTGCACAGCCTACCTGTCGAGAAGGACAAGCACCACAGTAAGCTTGCACCGCAGTGAAGCAAGATTCGCACATGATGTTCGAACGCATTCCGACGTTGTTTTTGTTTTCCCGTGCCATGCAGAGCTGGGAGTTTTCATGTTTGCAAATTTAGGCAACTGAGCTCTCAGTCCTCCAATCTCACGAGTCGAACACCCCCCTTCCCCCCCATTCCAATGAACCCCCTCTTGTGCTCACCCATGCTCACCCTTGTTGTGTGCGGCAGGCGTTGCCGGATGCCCAGGCCCATTACCTTCGGACATCTCTTGCTGCTAGGCTTCCCATCTCGGGAATCTTTGGCCGTAGTCATCCTGCGAACATCTTGAAGCTTCACGCAGCCACCGCCAGACTGCATGCAAGCTTGAGTGTTCCATTCCTCCACCTTTGCAGGTGTTGGGTACACCTTCAACGCGTGCAGAAGCGACCCACGAGCTGCTGGCTGTTAGCCGCAACCAGGTCAGTCCGCATCCGCCGAACTTTCCACTGTCTCAACTACACGAACATGGCGGTGAGATGTGGCACAAACACATCACCCTACTTGGATTCTCGTTCCGTTTGTCAGTTCTGGGTAGTTTTATTCCATCGGGTCCTGAATGTTTCTGTGTTTCCCCTCTGTCTCAACAGGACTGCAGAGGACTCCTCAAGATGCGCCGGACTGTTAGGACATCATCTTGGGACGACCTGTGACAGCCTACTCTTGGCAATGTGCTCCTCCGCTCCTTAAAATCTTTCATTTCGTGGCTCGCTTGTTTTTGTTAATTCATCTTCGCAAGACGATGGTCAGGCCTGCGTGTCGTAGACTTAGACTGTTGAAGCCCAATTTTGCAATGCTGTAGACCTACACACGCCTGGTGCAGCGGCTTTGTTGTTTTCGGGGTTTCGCTGCTGGGACAGGGCAGCTCACTGGTGTCGACTGATGATTTCCGCGAGATGGCTTCTTGGACCATGATTACCGGGGGCACGTCGGTCACTTTGCGGTTGCGTGCTGAGCTGTTGCTGGGGTTCTGTCCCGCTTCCCTGCAGATCCGGGCTGCAACTCTCAAGGAGGAGAGCCAGGAACCGCCAGCACGCCTTTCAGGCTTATTGCACATGTTGCCACTTGTTGCCATATGTACATGTGATGACCTGACAAGACTGAGTCCAAATCCCATTGTTCTTGCTGTTCCTGCAGGCAGCGGGCAGCGAAAGCGAAGCTTCACCGGTCTGTTTTTCAAGGACGACCTGCGCCATCGACTTTCCATTGGAATAAGAAGACATGCCTTTATATGGTCCAATAAAACATAAAACATCAGCCAATAGCTTCCTCTATGACCGCCTCAGTGCCGCACTTCACCAACACCCTGAATTCTCATCAGCAGTACAATGTCCAACGTATTCCAACGTGGTACGAGTAACGCTGCCACGCAGAGACCTTGGATGAAGGAAGCAACAGCTTCAAAAATCGACGCGTTTTTCTGGCCGCTTGGTCAACAAGGTAGATCACTTGTGACGACCGGCTGCCCGTGCTGTTGGTTGGGTTGAATTCATGGACAGCCGAGACTTGACAGTAAGTTTCGTAATGTGCCGAGGCGAGGATTTCTGCAACCTGGCCAAAGCTGGTATTCCCTGCTTCTGGCAAATGACCTTACAAAGACTTAGGGATATCCGGGCAAGCGGCACAGGGCAAGCTTGTAAGCTTCAAGCAGGTTGCAGTCAATCACACCATATTCTTGCCATGTGCGCAACCTGTTACCACACCGACAGAAGATCAATCTATTTTTATGGCTGGGGGGGGCCTTCCCCACGATGCCCAAATTCCGATAAGACAGGGTAGGGCATGAAGCCGCGAGGTGGGGAAGTTCACACCACAGTAGCCCCTCCAACAGGCACGTTAAAGTCCAGTCTAGTTTGTGGGAGAATCCGAAGGACCACATGTCAGAAGAACTCTAGCCTTGAAAACAGTCGGTGAATTCTTTTACTAAAGTTCCTAAATATGGTTCAGCCCGTTCACGCTTCCCTCATTTTCCCTTAGCACCTTATCGAAGCGGAGTTCCACGCAGGATCGAAGGGTTGCAGAGGTGTGTTAGAAACCATTCGGACCGGGGTACAGAGCTGCAGTGGATTCAGAGGGCATGCAAAGCAGAGGCTGTGGAAAGCATGCAGAACACAAAGGCAGAAGTAGCTTTGAAAGTCAGTCATGATTCTCCTCTGGAGCAGCCACCCGGGGTCGGCGGATGCTTGCTGTACCTCGGTGCGTAGGCCTTGATCCAAACCGAGGCTACTCCTCAGTGTGCTTGCAGTCGCCATTGTTAGCTTCATTGTGGGCTTCGTGGTCCTTGGGAACCAGGTGGCTCCAGATCGGGCACGGTTCATCATCAGAGAAGCACATCATCAGAAAAACGCCTCGAAGATCCCAAAGGCTGTTAACACTGTTGACATCCTTTGGCCCTAAATGCGCTAATTGGCCAGACTGTACATATTCCCTGATTATGCAGCCCATGGTCTTGCACAGAAAACTGCAGTGTGTAGGCGTGGGGGTGCAGACTGTGCTGAAGTGCTGAGTCATGCTGGATCTTGGGCAGATCCTGGGCAGATCTTGGCAGGTTGGGGATGAGCTGACAGTCGTGGAGCCCTGGCAATGGGCATCAAGCTCAGGATTCTCTGCGGGTCTCGAATGGTACCGAACTCTTCAGAAGCTCATCAGGCGCACTCCAAGTCTGGCCCGGTTCTTGAACATCTAGCTAGGTGACTAGTACATCTTGCGCCTGCTCGGTCCGGGTACCGAGTCGAAAGCCGACACCCCTTTCTGGCTCCAGGGCCTTCAAAGGCCACAGGATATTCGGTACCGACAGCAGCGTCTGCGTTGGATCTCCGTAGTCCGCACGTAGTCCACACGTACTCCGCACGTGGTTCTCAGCTCTCAGGTGGGGACCCCGGAAAATCTGGTTGATGCGCTGCGTGGGCAGTGCGTGGCACTGAAGAAGCAGGCCGATGGCTCAGCTTCCACGACTAACTTGACATCTCATCTCTCTATTGTCTCCGGATGTGTCTGTCCTCTGGTGGCATTGCAAGCAATTACGACCTGTCCCAGAGTCCGGCGAGAGGGGTGGGGCCGAACCCGAACTTGTATCCGAACCCGAACCGGTAGTGAGCGGATCGGGCTCGGGGGGTAGGCAGGGCACTAGCTGATTGTAACACATTCTCTCACATAACATTGCAGCCATTGTCGGTGGGAAGGCTTCGGCCCTAAACTCGCGGAGCTGAGGCTTCACCCTTGATCAAAATCATCGAGGAATACAATCGCCAAAACGGTTTTCGAGAGGTTCGCTTTACTACGCGAGGCTCTCGCAAGCAGGCTGGATGATGGCACAATGATAGGTTGGTTGTCTGTCAGCGGATCTGAAGAAGCAAAAAGAAGCGACAGAAGCTCTCTCTCATCACAGGCAGCAGCAATCTTTCTGCCCAGCTCTGCCTCTTCGCCGCGTGTGGCCTCTTGGATCCCCAAGTTGTCCACCAGCCGAGTTCCTTGAGAGGGCATGCTTGCATTGGTGCATGCGGGTGAGACTTTGCCTTGCTTACTTGGTCAAGGTGATCGTCCATGGACGCCGCTCACATGGCCTTGCCAGCACAGCACATCGCCTGCACCTGCTGGCAGTAGTTGCGTAGAGTCGTAGAGAGCACTGGATCCTTCAATCTGAAGTGAATCGACCGACATGCTTGCAACCTCGCGGTAGCTAGCGCAGATGATGCCTCCAATACTGTCTCCTCCAATTCAACAGCTCCAACTTCTGAGTTCTGTCGAGAACACACCAACAATATCCAGACGTTTCTGCTCCAAATGTTCGAGCCAGGTCATGTGCCATGCTTATACCTTTTTGACGAACGTGCACTGTAAAGAAACTCTAATCACAGATTTCTGCTTTTACATTTTCGAGCATGCAGTTTTGAGATGATGGCAGATGATCACTCTACATGCAGGGGAGCACTCTGGACACACACACACACACACACACAGATTCAGCTGGAAGTAGAGTATGCGGCAGTTGTGAGATTCTCAGCTGATATTGGTCACGAGGCACAGGCAGCTGGCTACTTCCTCCGGCTCACAGGTATCAGCGCGCTGATCGTGAGACTCTTAATGGATTGGAGTGGCATGACATGAAGCCAGCAATGTGACATGAAATGAAGCCTACCTGCGAACCGAGATAGAAGATCTTGCAGCGACGCGTCTTGGCCCGCAATATGCCAGTTCTCGTGGGCAGGGAGCTTGGGTCAATTCGCAAGCGAGGCTTAAGCAAAGAGCCAAGAGAACAGGCCCAACACTTTTCCAGCGAACTCACCGATGCTTTCTGATTTTAGGCGACAGAACCAAAGTTCCTGGCTGCTGGACGATGACGCAGTTCTTGGAGCTTGGGACTACGCAGTAGAAGACCCGGAAGGACTGCTTGGAGGCCGGAGTCCACGCCGGTGGGCACTCAATGTGATCGAATGTGGTCCTTTGTGCCATCTTAGACGTCGTGCCGATGCAGTGTGAGATGTATGAGATTTACCGAATGTTGCAGTCTTATGCTGTCGTATGCTGTCGCTGTTGTGGAGGCGCGCTGCCTGCCAGCCAGGTGGCCCTTATGGGTTGAAGCCTTAGCAGTTCCGACACTTCCGAAGGGATCCGAAAGATGTCATTCTTAAGGCTCCGGGGCCCTTGTCTGCTCTCATGTCAATGTGAGATTCGCTGCCACTCGCCCTGTAACCTACGTCAATGCCCCTGTGCGCAAGTTGAAGCACATCAAGACGAGCTGAGACAGCGAGCAAACCCAACCGAAACAAAGTCTCTTGAACATTGGTGCGTGTAAATTTGACCAGGGTTGATAAAGTTAGTTGGATGCTACACCTCTTGCACGGAAAAAATGGATGTTTCAAGATCAGAACACATTTCGGAAACTATCGTCTTTTCAATCACATCTCCAAAGGTTTCGACTTTGGCGGCTTCGCAGCACAGCGTGCCTTCGTTCGGGAGCCGCGCGTCGCAGCGCTGCTTGTGGACGGAGTCGTGCACGACTTCGAGGCGGCTGCGATGCTGTTCAGCAGATTCCCCACTTCCTGCCATGCAATTCTGTCATCGGGTTTCGCATGATTCTTCGATATTCGTCTGCCGCTTCCTGCAGCCTCAGACAGGTGCAGAATATAGGATACGGTGACAGGGCTGGCTGTGCAAGAAATGTTTTTGAAGAGGGGAAACTTGACTCGAGTGCTTGATGACTTCAAATGCTACTCCTGGGATGGTGCTTCTTAAGGGGGTTCTTTCTTTGCTGACACGCAGCGAGGCGTTGATGCGAGCTTACGTGGTACGTGTTCTGGGCAGCTGGAATTCGCCACTGTTCGCAGACCTGCTTACTCGGCAGGCTCGCGGCACATATTTCCCTGCATCCGGCACATTTGTTTAGTACAATGATCTAGATGTGCAGGTACAGAGCCGCTGCGAGTTCAATTTGCAGACAAGGCTCAGTGAGGCGCTTCTTGCAGCAAAAAAGCCCAGCACGCTTAGCCTGTCCGCTGCCTATGTGAATGATGCTCTTTCCCCGTGCTGGTACGAGGTAAGCTTGAGAGCCAGCTTTGCCGATCGTGTGGCAAACAATGCCACTCGCATTGGCGTCATTCGCTCCTTAGATGCTCCCTGGCGAGATTCGGCGATACGTGCACAAACCAAAGAGAGGCAGAATGGCGCTAGGGTGATGTTGCACAGCGTAGAGTCTGCTGGCGACAATGTCTGTTTAAGGATGCCGCGATGCCCAGCGTCTCCTGACTTGCGATGATTGGCGTGCTGTGTTACCATGCGCCCGGTAATAAACGCTGTGAGTCGACCGCCGGATACCGCCGGGCCCCAAAAATCTAACCCTAAACCCTAAACCCTAAACCCTAAACCCTAAACCCTAAACCCTAAACCCTAAACCCTAAACCCTAAACCCTAAACCCTAGAATGCGCCCCCTTTGAAGTTTTGGGGGTCCTTCGAGGAGCCTCGGGCACCAGGGGGATGGCGTTTAGGGGGTCTTTGGGGACCGAGGACTCTTTTTGTCATATGCCCTTTGGGTCAGGCCGCAGAGCCCAAAATTTTCAATATTCCCGAGATTCGTGAGTTTTTTGAGTTCTCTCAAGTGCCTTGGGCTGTGGCCGTGAAGTGAGGATTGCAGAGGTAAGGGTTTTTGTTGAAGCGGCTGTGGAATGTTGTGGTTTTGAGATTTGGGAGCGAGGTTTGGGGAAGACTTTAGTTCAACGAATGAGGAAGAGACATACTCCGTGCCCTCCTTCTTCAGAAAGCACCGGCCATTCGGTAGGCATGTCCCTACAGATGTGCCAGCATCTTTGGATTATGGAAAGCGCAACATTGGAACAACTGGGGTTGAGGTTCTGTGAGTTTTGGAAGCCGAACGCCAAGAGTGTGCAACGACCGGAAGAGATCAGTTCATGGGGGTCCGTAGAGGGTCCACAAGGATCCATAGATGGGTCATATGCAGAGGATGCCTGAATAGCCAAGCGCGAGCAAGTCTGAAATTCCAATTGGGCGTCGGTGCTTTCAGGAGCCAGCTCAAGTGCCCTACGCCTCAGAGGGGTGCCTATGGGCTTCATAGGGGACCCCTAACAATTAGAGGTGGGGAATCTGGGGTGCGTCTGGCCGTATGGGGAACCTCTGACGCCCACGGCCGGGGCCAAGGAGAGGGCCAAGGCGACTCTGAGTATGTTGAATCAATGTTGAGTGTTATGCCGACTCCAATACTTAGAGCAACGCAGCTTGAGGGGAAGGTGCGTTGAAACATGTTCAAACCATCCCACATTCAAGGACGAGCAGTACAACTTGCTGGTCTCCTCAGTGTCGCTGAACGACCAAATGCAAGCTCCGAGGCTTCGAGCTTGGTTTTTGGCCAGTTGAAGCCGTGCTCTCTTTCCAGAATTTTTAATCTTGCTTGATACGTAGCAGATCTCACATCTGTGGGGCGCTTCAGGAGTTTCAGCTGGGCTTCCAACTACACAGTTCCGGCCAGCGATGCCTGCGACGAGCAGACGGCGCTGCACCTCTTGTCTCCGGCAGAGTACCAAGCGAAGCTCAGACAGAACTTCCAGTTTAGCCAGTGTCACACATGCTTACTCCGCACTCTCCCAGCAAACCCCCACACAAGCCCCCGTTGAGACCTGCAGCGGGGTGTGTTTTTTAAAGTTTGGATAAGAAAAGATAGGTGATCCTCCAAGGCGCCTCTGTGAGTTCTTCGGGGACGTTTTTTCTCTTGGAGCTAGCTGCAGGCGAGGTTAGTTTTGCACGTTTTTGCACAACGAGGGACCGCGACGTGTTCTTTGCATGGCACTTTGCAAGATTCTAATAGAGTGCTAAAGAGTGCTGCACTTTCGCAGGTAATCCTGGGGCCCTTGGCTTCTGAGGCAAATGAGGTGTAGCCACTGCTAATCCTCTTTGATCTCCATTGCGCTACTGTGCTGTGGATACGTCGATAATGAGATTTTCATCTATCAGCTGCACCTCTTCAGAATTCAGAAGTCCAGGTTCTGGAGATAGATGCAGCTGTCGAAATTGGCCCGCCAAGACGCGTCAGAGACGGCAGCGATTTCGATGCAAACGCTTCGAAACGAGGGGTCGCATAGTGGAACCTAATTGCGCACATAAGGCAGTCCTTGACCCGAAACGCGGTGCCCACCACGATCATGGCTATGGCCTTGTCTTGTGAAGGGCTAGTAAGCAGATCGAGCTTACGTGTGGGATACCAGGTATTCATGAGCAGCGGCCACAGCCCATGGTCCTGCACAGAAGCAGGGGTATCAAAGGTACCTCTGTAGACAGGGTCTGTGAAGCAGCGGACCTCGACTGGGAAAAAAAAGGTTCAAGAAGGTTCGCATGCAGCTAGCAGCCCCAAGTCTTCGTCACATTCCAGTACATCTAAGCAGGCAGTGCTTAGCCTGACAAGGTTGACAGGCGGTAGCCTCCATCGCCTTTGCGAAGGCGGGGAGTCGAGACGCTTTGACCTTAAATTCTGAGCGGATAATCCCCGGGACATTCAGAACAGCTGAACCGACGGCCTTCTTACGGGGCCATGCTTTTGAATACGGTCTGCACTCGACAAACCCCTTCACACAGCACGCAGATGTTGAGGTTGCTAGGATCACTGAAGCGTGGAAGGCGGTGTGAGGATCGCCCAGATGCCTGGACACTGGCGCATAAGTTCCACAGTTCTGCACGTGTCTCAGTCTATGCGGCCATCCATGTCACGGCACGGCTTCGGGGCCCAGTTTCTTTTTAGGCGCAGACGGTGGCCAGCACATGCAATCTCAAACGAAAAGGATGGAACATGCCAGGCAGCCACGAGTTGTTTCTTCGCTTGTCGTTCTGTTACGACTGCTCCAGCTCCCTTCTAATTCCACTTCTCGCGCCATCGAGAAGTCCGGAAGGCTTGAGTGAGAATCTGCATACGTACCTCATTATTACCTCGTTGCACTCTGCAAGAAGTGCATGGCATCTTCCTTCTAGGAGCCATTGTAATAGTGGTACGAGGAACGCCAGACCTGAAAGCACTGCAGCTGCCGCTTACGTGGCAATGAGGTCTTGATGAGCGATTGACGGCCTGCATGCCAAGATCATGGACTGGCTTGACTCTGGGTCTTCCGTGATACCGCAATTTTCGAGGACACTTCCCGCTTTGTGGAAGAGTCATCGGCCGAAACCAAAAAGTACGGATCATTTTAGTTCACCCTAGATGAATAATTCTGAAGCGCCTGGCAGCCTAGTAAGCCAAGTAATCATGAGGCCCACTCCTGTGGTCCTTAACCTTTGAAGAACCCGGGAGAGGCTGACGTATGAATCAAGTCTCAGAGCAAGGCAGCGGCTCTAAAACGTGCGGGGGTTTTGCATTGTTCTGTAATTCCGCAGAGTCGTCGCATCGACATGCCACCACATATGTGCAGGCCACAAGGGCTTTCAGAATTGCGTCGGAGTTGACTGCATGGGCTCTGACCATAGGATGACGGGGTAACACGCATCAGTACAGGTCGTGTATGTCATGCAACTACAGCAAGCAGTGCCTGCGTGCGTGCGTGTGCGTGCGTGCGTGGGTGGGTGTGTGTGCGTGTGCACGCTTTGGGCAGCTGTTCTGGTGTCTGGTGCTTTGGCTTCTTGGCCCCGTCTGCACTGTTTGAAAGCTCAGCTGATCTTACACTGTTTGGTGATCTGTAGGGTGACTTTATGTTTGACAACTGCAGGCAACCATAGGCAACCTCAACGCTGTGAGCTTGAGTTGAAAATTACAACAGACGTCGCTTCAACACCTCAACGCTGTGAGCTTGAGATGGAAGTCCTTTCGCCAAGCTCGAGCGCAAATGGCCTGGGCAGGCAGCAAGAGAGGCAACTCATGGCAACTCACACAAATCTAGGGGCCCGCAGCGATCGTTGGAGTGCAAGCCCTTGTGACTTCAAGCTCCTTGCAGGTTTGATTTGACAGCGGCTTCGTCAGTGCAGGTTCTACAAGCTGCCAGCCCCGGCGCTGCATAGCCCACCCGGAAAGCCCAGTGAGCTTCGCACGGTTCGAAAGTTTCTGGCTTGGTTCGCTCGACTTCCTGCATGTATCTTCGCATCTCAGTCGACATCTGCATGAGGCTATGGCAATCTCCGGACGAATGCAATGGCCGAGTTCCATGAGAGGGCACAGCTCTTCCAGTTGATGAATAAGGACATCAGCCGTGACATCAGCTGCACGTGTGATCGCTGCTGGTGTGTGCAAGGTAGTTACAGTACAGAATTTGAGCACGCAAGTGCATGCCTTCCATTGGTCCAGACTATTGGTTCGGGTCCCCATCAGTGAATCATGCCTCACATTTAAGGCAAGACAAGCGCAGCAACTCGCCCCCTCAGATGCTCGTTGTGTCAAGACTGTCCCAGTTGTCACCGAGCCAACCTGGTACCAACAACATGCAGATGTGGTGTCTCCCTTGCTGAACGCCCTGGGGATTTCGTACTGGAACCTATGGTTGCAAAGGCTTCCTCAGGGGTGTACGGGCAGACATGACCTCGCACAGTCCATCGCTCGCTAGCGCAGCAGCATGGGACCACGGCTGCATAGATCGGCATGCAGCGAGCATTGAATTCGGCGAATGCGAGCGGTAGTGCTGACTGGGTAACGGCACTTCCAGCATGCTTCTTTGATTATGTGAAAACTATGAAGCGGGCGGGTGGCGTTTACCTGGGCCTAGGGGAGTCAGGTCGCACGGTCGCCTTCGACAGCCTAATGGTCCAACAGCAGTGTCGCACTGTCCGAACAATTGAATTGGCGGCCTGTGCCGGTTTTGTGCATCGTGTGAGAACTTCCAGGTGTTCTGTCCATGTCAGGACCTTGCAAAGGAAGTGTGCTGGGATGTGCACTTGCTCCTCGGCACTCGAGTTACTGTACTAATCAGTTGAAGCACTGGACTGGAAGCCTTGTTGCGATCCCTGCGGGTCCGTGTGGGAAGCCGCCATGCGCTTTAAGTCGTTTTAAGTAGTTTTTGCCTTTGTGGCCACGACAGCTTGAGGTGGATGGTTAGGCGGCACTGGGCGCTCGTTTTCCATCCACGGCTGGGAGAAGAAGGCCGGAGTTGCCTGAAGTGCCCGTAAAGAGTAATAGCCACTGATAGCAACAAAACATTTGCCAACGCGGGTGTGGCACCCTCTTGGTGTTGGAGCGGACACGTCGCCCAGTGGGGGCTTCCCAGGGCCTTCGCACATGCATCGGAAACTGGGGTGGGGATGGGTGGGGTTTGGGGGCCTAATCGAGTCTGGAAAGCCAGAGAGCATCAGAAATTGCCTGTTCCGAGTTTCCGAATCGTCTCTTTGGCGGGTTCCGAATCGTTTCCCAGTTTCTGGATCATCTATTTCCGGTTTCCGGAGCAGGGTTTCCGAATCAGCCATTGCCAGTTTTTTCGAGTTCCCCCTGGTTTCCGATTCAGGCGTTCTCAGTTCTGGATTGAAATTTGTCCGCTTCTCGCTTCCGAGTCAGTTCTGGTTTGCGATTTGTGCAATTCTGGTTTCTGATGGAGTCGTTCTGGTTTCCGAGACGGCTTCTTGGTGGGCTTGTGACCTTGTAGTGCAGGTGATTGTCATGTTGGGGCTTCATGGCTTTTTGGGCCTGTTCTCGAGGTTTTGTGACACATGTTTTCATTGGTTTAGCGGTTTAGCGTCCAACGTTGGCTTCGTGAGCCTGCACAGGCTGCTGTTGAGTGTCGAGCGCGGGGGCAGGGAGCCGGGAGGGGCAGGACTGCTATTGGGCCTGTGAGGGTACGGGGCACTTCAAAGTGAACACAATTTTTGCTCCTTCCTTAGCCGACCAATGTTGAACGAAAGAATGGAGACCAGTGGCGGGACGTGTCGGCATCATGCAAGTGCGGCCGAGTGCTGTGACAGGCATAAGCATCATGAAGCATCCAAACAAAATGCCATATGCTTCGGCCTGTTCTGTGCTACCTGCACCAGGCTCAGAGCACCGCACCAACCGTACGCTTCGTGTAGATCCAGAATATTTGCGGCGCAGCGATGGACAGGCTGCAAGGGAAGAGGGCTCGCAACGTTGCTTCATGCTGTGGGGGCTCTGGCAGGGCTGCGTGGTACAGCTGCCTGCCCTGACCTGAGGCGTGCTTGCTAGATGTACATGGTTTGGCTGCTACCGGTCCACCTGCCTGAGGTGAGCCAGACTTATGTAGTCATTGAGCTCTTGGTGGCTGAGTGGCCATGCGAGGATCCTCTTCTGCAGCTCTTGCGGTGAGCTTGCTCAAAGCCATCAAGCTTTCTGAAGAAAAACCATCGCCTCCACAAGCAGACTGACAGTCACTCAAAATATCAAGGTGCAGCTGTGTACACGGGAGTGAACTTGCACCTCAGAGTGCAGTTCGATGCAGTTCGTGTTCTGCCAGGAGTTCTTTCCGTACCTTTCGGTCTTCCCCAGCGGGGCCCTCAGGGGAGTCTCAGGTGAAAAAGGCACATCACGCGAAGCATGCGAAGCTGTTTGGTTTTTGACGCCTTCTGGCCGACTGTAGCCACTGCAATTCAAGCGACTCTTGGCGCATTAACACGTCTAGCCAGTGCCGCCCTTGTCTCTCCCCCAAACTCTGAACCAAAAGCCGACGCTGGTAGGCTTCGACCCCGTCAAGGAGAACGTTGCAGACTTCGGTGCAGCCGGACCTTGTACACTAGAACACATCGCCGAGCAGGCCGGAGAGATATCTTAATACGTAGCATGTTGCGCAATCTTTCTTCCGTGCCTGTGCATCACAGATGTGCTGTTTCGATGCAGCTTCCATTTAGCTGCTGATGGGTACGACGATGAATGAATGTGCAAGCGGAAGGCTGTAGCTTCACTGCATGCGCTGGACAAATCACGAGGTCAAGATGCATGACGCTTGTTTCACGGGTTCTTCTTTTGGCTTTACCATCCTTCAGGTCCAATTAAGGATACAGCTTCATGCTCGCTTGACACAGGCCATGGAAGTGATGAAATCTTACCGGATGTATGGCCTGGTAGGTTGCAACTGTCTGGGCCTCATCTTCGGGTTTGGACAGCATCTTGAGCCCACATGGGGTCCACGAGGGTCCACATCTCACGAAGTTCCAAGGTCAGCACTTTGCCGTGGATGTACTCAAGCGCCTGCCGGGCATCAAGGACGCCCCGAGCCCCGATGACCAGCGCCTCGCGGAGGCACTTGGGACGCTCGTTTAGACTCGTTTGCATCACCTGTGTGGGTATGGGTGTGCCAATACGTGTATGTGAACGCTCGCACCAGGTCATTGAGCGGAGCGCACGTGCGGCGTGGGAACCTGGCCAGGCATGTGCAGACTCAGAACATCTTCGAGCTGCTGAAAATTTGCTTTGTGCAGAGATGCTTCAAGGAAAAGACGAACCCACTGGTAACATCGAAGGAGATACAAGTTGTGCATAGAGGGCTGTATGTTTGTTCTCGGAGTCGCTCAGCCGCCAAGATCAGCATCACCAACGGTGTGCTGAAAGGCTTGTTTTGCAGCGAGCTGAGTGATGTTGGGTCGTGGATGTTGCGTGGGTTCTGCAGCGGTTATTATGCGCAAGTTGCCATTGTTCGTCAGTAGTTGATGTGATTTAGGGCTTCTAACGGTCGCGCTTGATGGCACTTCGCGCTGCTGGCTCTGCATCTCTGCAACAGTTTTGACAGACTCTGGCAGTCCGCAATCTTCAGGTGCGAAGACAGCGTCGACGTTGGGCAGCAGTCCCTTGGATGTGATCTGCAGCTACCCAGCTACCCCCGAGCGAGCTACTGCGTGCTCATGTTGCCCACCGAGGCCTTGCAACTGGAGGGCTGGCAGGCTTGATAGCTAGACATGCCATGCCCCTTGACGGGCGGGTCTCTTGGTCGGTACCATGAGCATCCCGCTGAACCCTGCAAATTGCGTGTAGGAGGCGCTGCGGGCACGATGGCGCTGGGTATAGGACCGAATTTTTCTCTCAGAGCTCTTTTTCCTCTCGCTGCCAGAGGTGTTAAGTGCCAAATTCCACTCTTGCAAGAGGAGCAGCAGTGCTCACCGGGCACATCCTATGTGGCTGCGCAGTTGGTGCTGCCGCCTCCACAGGTGCCACCCCAAAGCTGTCCGTGTGAGAAGCTCATTTAAGGCAAAAATCCATACGGTGCCCACATGGTGCATAGTGCGTCGGAGTGCATCGACCGCTGATCTGTTGAAGGGGTCTTTGAAAGGGATTGTCTCGATGTGCGATGCGTCATTCCTGTGAAGCAAGGCGTTCGCAAGACCTATGAGTGGGTCAGCAACCGTCATCGTCGAGCAGAGGAGGCAACTTGCGTCAGCTTTGTCAGCAGAAGTGAAGTCAGTACATTGAGTCATTGAGTACATGTGACTGTAAGGGAGCAGATGGTGCAGATGGAGCTGAACATGCAGACAAAAGTCCGGAACCTGCACGGGAGTCGTCTCCGAGTGATGCGGACATTGTCGGGCCCCTGCAGCCAGACGAGTCCGGACTGTCACTAAAGGATGTGACTGAGTCTGTCAGGGTGGGAGGACCTTTGGGAGTAATTTACTAGCATGCCAGCCGAGCCTTCGTGCCTCATTGCATGATCGGCGCCTCACACTTGTACAGCAGAAGAGGCACAATCCCGTAGCATACGCTTGGCTCTCTGCTGCCCGCTTCACAGCTGCAGCGATGTGGAGAGATGTGCGACTAGTACAACCTCCGCAATTCTGACGGCCTTTCAGAGGCGCCCTGAAAGTCAATGTCAGGGTATGAGCCACAGCTGCATGAGCCACTTCTACCAGAGTCCATCAGTCAGCATCATCCAGGATTTTTGCACACCAGCAGTCCGCGAGAATGCCTTGCCCGCATGTCCCAGCATGTCCCTTCAACCACACCAAAGTTGATGAATCTGTCCAACTATGTCAACTGTTTGCTGTCGAGCTTCAGTCACAGGCTACAAACAATGAACTCATGGAAGATGCCAGCAGGCACTTGATTCTTCTACCAATTGCCAGCATTCCCTAGCACTCCAGAATAAGATCAGCCCTGTGCGGTTCTGCATACTGCGATGCTCAGGCTAAGGAATCGGGATTCTCGGATTTCAGAGATGTTGGTGTTAACGCGTGATGGTAAGCACGTTGCCTAGATTTGGTCGATGTGGCTGTCATCTCACCTTTATATGGCGCAAGACCAACAGTGCCGGCGTGAAGTGTTGACGCATGCTGCAAAGCATTTTGCACGTTGCTTCATTGCTTTCAGCAAGCAGTCAGCCAAGAGGGGCGGCGGCCACGAGCTCATGTCGCATTTCACTTGGACCCAGGACGTAGGACCTAGCCATATAGTTCAAGGATTTGAGGTGGAGTTGCATCCACGAAGTCACAAAGTAGTTGAGTTCTGACTCCAGCATCTCTCATTGCAACCGCCGCCGCTCTTGGACACTTTTGTACAAAGAGTCGCCCTCCTCTGTGGCGAGCACAGCATTGTGCGTTGCTGTCTAACGGCGAAAATGGGATTCAGCTGCGGCTGACACCAGTCATCTGGTCGGAGAATGCACCAGGTATTGAATTTCTGTCCGATCTACCGTCCTCACTCAAGCAAGAGTGCTCCCAGGCGTCAGGCCTGCTGCAAAACACACGATCAGCAGCAAGTCGTGTGCGAGCTCGGCTCTGCAGCGACAAAAACTTACCAACTGTCGACCCACTGTAGCCGCACAGCCCTACCTTTGTGCATTAGTTACCCCTTACACCCTAAACCCTAAACCCTAAAACCCTAAAACCCTAAAACCCTAAAACCCTAAAACCCTAAAACCCGAAACCCTAAACCCTAAACTAAACCCTTGGTTCCCGTGTCCGTATAAGCCCTCCCTTTGTGCCGCTCCCGTACCATGGCATCATCATGGCTGTCCCGCGCGGCCTCAATGGCACAAGCAGCCCAGGAAGCAGCAAAGGAGGCACCCCCAGGAGTGATGCCAGTGATGCCATTGATGGCTATGGTTTCTAAGATGGTTTCCATGCTCCATACTTGTACATTCAGTTGTACATTCAGTTCTAACAGAGTCAAGGGCCAAGGGTCTCAAAATCACACGACCCTGACGGTAACGAATCTACAGGGAGATTACTTGAGGGCAGAGAGCTTGTGTTTTGAGATGTTTCGTTGAAGATTCGTTTGAAGCGAGGCTGCAGAGAAGGCGGCCAAAGAGGCAGCAAAACTACGTGAGGAAGCGCAGGCAGCTGTCCAGATCCCAGAGCACTCCGCTGTGCACTTTCGACTCCGCTGTGTAGCTTGAGCTGAAGTATAAGCCTGAAGCTTTTGCAAACCAATTGTGCAAAGACTTGGCGAAAGTTACAAGAAGCTGTGGTGCTGAGGCTTCAGGGCTAGCTCAAGGGGCTGCGCCCAAGCTGCAGACCATTTTGCAGTACTTGTAGCTAGGCCGCTAGGCGCCGTGTTACATGCAACGTGCAGCCGCGTGTGTAGGGGCAGTCGTTTTTTATTGCCAGTTTATTCTGGTCGACCACTGGGCCCTGAGGAGCGCCTGCTTCAGCTGCCCGTGGAGACAAAGCCATCTACAGTTGATCTGCTGTTTGAGGTGATGGTTGTGGGCAGAGAGAATCGGAGATACGCAGGGATGTGGTATGACGGGGTGCAGGGTTTGGAGCGGCATAGATCTTGAAGGCGTTGTCCTGGACCACGCCAAAGCTTCAGACAGCCTTAGCTGCTGAGATTTTTGAAGGATGGGCCTTTGGGCTTCGAGCTGGAAGGTCCTCGGGTGGTGGCAGTGACTGAAGAGGCGCTTCAACTTTTAAGCCAAGCATCTTTGAGATGCTCTGTGCCCTTGAGCATGTACAAACACATGCGTTGTGCTTTTTGTGATCGTGTGTCGTCCGAGGGTCAGGCGCAGCGCCTGGGTCTGTGCCCTGGCGCTCGGCTGATGGCCGTGAATGGCGAGAAAATTCCCGCACCGCCAGCAGAGGCCATTTGCCCATCTACCCAGATGTTGTGCTTCAGTTTGCTGCAGGACCTCCTGCTGCTGCTGCTGCTGCTGCTGCTGCTGCTGCTGCTGCTGCTGCTGCTGCTGATGCTGATGATGATGATGGTGATGACGATGACGAGCTGATGAGGATTATGGTGACGATAACGCTGATGATGCGCTTTATGACGATGGTGACTACGACGAGGACGATCATGAGGACCATGAGTATCACGATGATGATGATGATGATGCTGCTGCTGCTGCTGCTGCCGCCGCCTTTTTGGCTGCACATGCTACCGTCTGCAGGATTCACCTGCTACGGGAGACGCACGCGTGAAGAGGCTCATCCGGTGCTCTGGCATCAAGGAGAGCTGGGGAGGGCATCAATGGCCTTTCAATCCATAGCTTTTGTTGCAGAGGCACTCTTGATGCTCGATCAGGCATCTTAAGACCCCTGCGGTTGTCCTGCTATTCACCAGGAAGCCAAGCGTATACGAAGCAGGGGAGACTGTTGAAGCGAGCTCAGGAAGTGGATCCAAGGCAAGTCCCGACCAGCTGCCTGGCAGCACTGGGAGTTCTGAGAAGCAAGCACCGGTGTCATGCAGCTTGGCAGGAGCAGTAGCCTATGGCTAGCAAGCCCCTGCCGCAACAGTTTCAGCATTCAGCATCCTTGCAAATGAGATTTCTTTGACCTTCGAACATCCTGATGGAGCTCCACAAGGCAGTTATTTCCCTGATTTGTCCTTCTCTGTTGTTGTCATGACTGAAGTTTTGAAGTCAGCACAGAGAGCCTACGACTAGGGAGTTTCAGGAAAGTCTTTGGTCTGTGTGGGGTTGATGCAGGCCGCACGACGACAGCCGCCGCCACTGCCCCTGGCTCTGAGTCGGACGTGGTCATCAAGCCGGGCTGCAAGCTGAGAGTTTGCAAATGCTCCAAATTCTCACGGCCATTGTTGGCCTCTGAGCTGTCCAGATGCATGTGCCATGGTCATAGCATAGCCTGATCTTTGGCTACGCAATGTCCAGATGGGGTCGGAACATTTCCCGTCAGCAAATTGTTGTTTCATCAAGGTCGGTCACTGGAGTCTTGCACGATTTTGCTTCAGGAAGCTGCAAGTCCGAACTCTACTTCTCATGTCTTATTTGGTCCTGTTTTTAGATGATCCTAGTGTCCAGCGGGACAGGTGAGATGCCCTTGAGTGTTGCAGGCGTTGCGGCTTGCAACTTTGTACAACGCCATGCATCGCCAGTCAGCGCAGAGACGCACCGAGCAATCTCGTGGCAAGATTTCGCAACGAAGCCGCTCAGGCCCTGGGGAAGCAGAAGATGCTCCGAACGCTGTGGAAGGCCATTTGCACTCTGCAAGCACCGTCCAACTCTCCGTGCTTCCGCGTCCCCCAAACATCGTGTCATTCGCCTCTCCAGAATCAATCGGCAAGCCTTGGTCGAATCCCAAAGCCTGTTGTGCAGTAGTACGAACTACGGCTCTGAAAGTGTGGTGGCTACAGAGCCCGTGTTTTTGCCATATCCCTTTGCTGCAGGTTGGGAACCAGACCTTGCGCCAGCAGACCTCCTACAAGAAGCTACAGGCATGGAGTCCCGTGAAATTGGGTGTGCAACTCGGAGAAGGGAAAGAAACCAATGTCCAATCCTGAATGTATCTCTTGACCTGGCAATGAGCTTCAGTTCTGCAGAACTCTGCAAAATTCGGTACAGTAGTGCTCTATCACAATCTGCATTGTTGAGAGATGGCTGGGACGATGCCCTGGACCTCGACATACCGCAGGATGACAACTTTGCAACTGTCGAACAAGCTGTCCAGTTGCCACGGTTGAGCTTTTTTGCAGGCCCCGCAGTCCGTGCCTTATAGCTTAGCATCGTCAGCTGCAGGAGACCAGTGCTATGAGCGCGGACATGTATGACGAGGTCAAAGTGTCCTGTCAGTTTTCGCTCAGATACTTCAACGTATTGACAGAAGAAAGGGGGGTGGGTGTTTGTTCCGCGAGAAGGTTTTTTGCACATTGACAAGGACGTCTCGTACGGTGACCTTGCACTGACAAAATCATTTCTTGGCACAACAAGGCCTTAGTTCAGATCCTTAAAGTGTTTTTTCGAGTCATGCCCACAGGAAGGGTCCAAACGCTTCCAGTGCACCTGTTCTTGGCGGTCTCTGGGACGTTTCGGTGGCATGTCCGTGAGTCTTTTGCTAGGGTTTCCAGTGTCCTTCAAAGGTTGCCAAATGGGTTTGTGTTTTTTTGGGGGGCTCAGGTTTAAGAATGGCACACAGGTTGCACACCCGCGAAACATACCCCGTAACACCCCGTAACATACCCCCGAGATTGCAGGTAAAGTAGCTCCTGATGCCGCGAAACATACCCGAAACATACCCCCGAAACATACCCCGAAAAATACCCCGAAACATACCCGCGAAACATACCCCGACCCCAACACGTGTCACGCGCCTCCCCATTAAAATACAAACCCAAATGAACGTCTTTCAGAGGGGTTTCAAAGGGTTGCGCCCTTTCTCCCAAGGGTCCCCCACAGCTCCCGCCCCTGTCGCTGGATTCCCCGCGCTCCCCCACTCCCAGGTCCCTCCTCTCTCCTCTACTGACGTCGTGCAACTCAAATTCTTGTCGTGGTGAGCATTCCTTGTCGTGGTATATCTATATCGATATCGACATCGATATCTATATGGATATCTATATCTATATCTATATCTATATCTATATCTATAGCTATAGCTATAGCTATATCTGTATCTGTATCTATATCTGTATCTATATCTATATCTATATCTATATCTATATCTATATCTATATCTATATCTATATCTATATCTATACCTATATGTAGTGGTTGTGGCCCCCTGCCATCGTGGTAGTGACGTAACCTTTGGGAGGTATTTTGATTGAACCGCCTGCTTTGAACATAGTGTCCACAGGCTGCGGAAGCTGCAGGTCAAGCCAGTTTGCTTGATGCTGTGGAGGACCAGCATCCATTAAGTTTCGATCCCAGCTGCTATGTTGTTTTTGTGGGACGTCGAATGGCGAGGTGATGCACGGAGCTTGCTTCTCTGTGGTTGCCCAAAATTCCACTTTGTGAGCCATGCCACAAGAGCTGGCGCAGGAAGCTGCAGTGGCTTCTGCAGATGTGGCCAAAGTGGCGCCACCAGAGCCAGAGCATGAGGACCACCCACTGTCCGTATCATTGTGTGCCGTTGCTACCAGTAGCTGCATGTAGCTGCACAGCCGTTTTGACATTTCGGAGCGCGCCGTATAGCTCTGATTGAGCACATCAGAGTACATACAGGCCCTGGAAGCAACAATGCCAGCCAGCTTGGATGATGAAACACGCTCGGGGCCGGGGTGGGGGGGGGCAGTATTGGACTTCGATGACTTGCTTGAGGAGTCGGCAGTGCTGCTTGACACGATGGCCAAAGACGAGCCGTCAGCAGAGCAGGAGCCATTCTTAGCAAAGATTGTCAGTGTTTTTGGCGTGTTGGCGATGTTGGCGTGCTCTTTCTGCTTCAGCACATCGCACTGGCGACCTTGCCTTTGTTAGTCAGGCTGCGCCCGAAGATGCCGCTGACTTGCTTGGTGAGTTAGCTGTGGATCAGCCGCTGGAGCAGGAGACGACGGCACGGCGTAGGTACGAGATTAAATAGGACATCATGCCTTTTGCCGCTGGCGTTTGCAGGACATCGGCAATGCCGCGGCTGCAGTTCCAGAGGTCGGGCCCGTGTTAGTCTTGAATATCATGGAGTATCATGCACCAGGTTGGCGTTCAGGGCAGTTTTGTCAGGTGCAGAAGTCATGCGCTGTTGGGGTTCAAGTGCATCGGCATGGGTAAGGGTACTGTACCGCGCAATGCTCCTCTTTCTCGATGACTTGCTTGAGGAGTCGGCGCTGCTGCTTGACACGATGGCCAAAGACGAGCCGTCAGCAGAGCAAGCGCCATTCTTAGCAAAGATTGTCAATGTTTTTGCGTGTTGGCGTGCTCTTCTGCTTCAGCACATCGCGCTTGCACCTTGTAGTCAGGCTGCGCCCGAAGATGCCGCTGACTTGCTTGGTGAGTTAGCTGTGGATCAGCCGCTGGAGCAGGAGACGACGGCACGGCATAGGTACGAGATTGGCCAGGGATAAATAGGACATCATGCCTTTTGCCGTTGGCATTTGCAGGACACCGGCACTGCCGCGGCTGCAGTTCCAGAGGTCGGGCCCGTGTTCGTCTTGAATATCATGGAGTATCATGCACCAGGTTGGCGTTCAGGGCAGTTTTGTCAGGTGCAGAAGTCATGCGCTGTTGGGGTTCAAGTGCATCGGCATGGGTAAGGGTACTGTACCGCAATGCTCCTCTTTCTCGATGACTTGCTTGAGGAGTCGGCGCTGCTGCTTGACACGATGGCCAAAGACGAGCCGTCAGCAGAGCAAGCGCCATTCTTAGCAAAGATTGTCAATGTTTTTGCGTGTTGGCGTGCTCTTCTGCTTCAGCACATCGCGCTTGCACCTTGTTGTCAGGCTGCGCCCGAAGATGCCGCTGACTTGCTTGGTGAGTTAGCTGTGGATCAGCCACTGGAGCAGGAGACGACGGCACGGCATAGGTACGAGATTGGCCAGGGATAAATAGGACATCATGCCTTTTGCCGCTGGCGTTTGCAGGACATCGGCAATGCCGCGGCTGCAGTTCCAGAGGTCGGGCCCGTGTTCGTCTTGAATATCATGGAGTATCATGGACCAGGTTGGCGTAGAGGGCAGTTTTGTCAGGTGCAGAAGTCATGCGCTGTTGGGGTTCAAGTGCATCGGCATGGGTAAGGGTACTGTAGCGCGCAATGCTCCTCTTTCTCGATGACTTGCTTGAGGAGTCGGCAGTGCTGCTTGACACGATGGCCAAAGACGAGCCGTCAGCAGAGCAAGCGCCATTCTTAGCAAAGATTGTCAGTGTAATTGCGTGTTGGCGTGCTCTTCTGCTTCAGCACATCGCGCTTGCACCTTGTAGTCAGGCTGCGCCCGAAGATGCCGCTGACTTGCTTGGTGAGTTAGCTGTGGATCAGCCGCTGGAGCAGGAGACGACGGCACCGCATAGGTACGAGATTAAATAGGACATCATGCCTTTTGCCGTTGGCATTTGCAGGACACCGGCACTGCCGCGGCTGCAGTTCCAGAGGTCGGGCCCGTGTTCGTCTTGAATATCCTGGAGTATCATGCACCAGGTTGGCGTTCAGGGCAGTTTTGTCAGGTGCAGAAGTCATGCGCTGTTGGGGTTCAAGTGCATCGGCATGGGTAAGGGTACTGTACCGCGCAATGCTCCTCTTTCTCGATGACTTGCTTGAGGAGTCGGCGCTGCTGCTTGACACGATGGCCAAAGACGAGCCGTCAGCAGAGCAAGCGCCATTCTTAGCAAAGATTGTCAATGTTTTTGCGTGTTGGCGTGCTCTTCTGCTTCAGCACATCGCGCTTGCACCTTGTAGTCAGGCTGCGCCCGAAGATGCCGCTGACTTGCTTGGTGAGTTAGCTGTGGATCAGCCGCTGGAGCAGGAGACGACGGCACGGCATAGGTACGAGATTGGCCAGGGATAATAGGACGTCATGCCTTTTGCCGCTGGCGTTTGCAGGACATCGGCAATGCCGCGGCTGCAGTTCCAGAGGTCGGGCCCGTGTTCGTCTTGAATATCATGGAGTATCATGGACCAGGTTGGCGTAGAGGGCAGTTTTGTGAGGTGCAGAAGTCATGAATGGTTGGGGTTCACGGGCATCGGCATGGGTAAGGGTACTGTACCGCGCAATGCTCCTCTTTCTCGATGACTTGCTTGAGGAGTCGGCGCTGCTGCTTGACACGATGGCCAAAGACGAGCCGTCAGCAGAGCAAGCGCCATTCTTAGCAAAGATTGTCAGTGTTTTTGCGTGTTGGCGTGCTCTTTCTGCTTCAGCACATCGCGCTTGCACCTTGTAGTCAGGCTGCGCCTGAAGATGCCGCTGACTTGCTTGGTGAGTTAGCTGTGGATCAGCCGCTGGAGCAGGAGACGACGGCACGGCGTAGGTACGAGTTTAAATAGGACATCATGCCGTTTGCCGTTGGCATTTGCAGGACACCGGCACTGCCGCGGCTGCAGTTCCAGAGGTCGGGCCCGTGTTCGTCTTGAATATCGTGGAGTATCATGGACCAGGTTGGCGTAGAGGCAGTTTTGTCAGGTGTTGCTCCTTTTTGGCCGTGATTGCCCAGTCGACGCTAGACTTTGTGAGCCATGTCACAAGAGCTGGCGCAGGAAGCTGCAGCGGCTTCTGCAGATGTGGCCAAAGTGGCGCCACCAGAGCCAGAGCATGAGGACCGCCCACTGCGCGCATCATCGTGCGTCGCTGCTACCAGTAGCTGCCTCTAGCTGCACAGCCTTTGTGGGCGCACCGTATGGCTTTTGATATGCTCTGCTCGAGCACCTCGGAGTACACACGGACCCACGGGCTTTCGAAACAACAATGCGAGCCAGCTTGATTGATGAAACGGATAACCGGCCGATGCAGGTTACTTGCAAATGTGTCTTCTAGGTCCTAGGTATGGATAGTGGTGCACGCTGGGGGCCCGGGGGGGGGGCGGGGGCCGGGGGGGCAATTTTGACTTCGATGACTTGCTTGAGGAGTCGGCAGAGCTGCTTGACACGATGGCCAAAAACGAGCCATCAGCGGAGCAAGAGCCATTCTTAGCAAAGATTGGCAGTTGTTTCTTTGCGTGGTGTGCGATGTTGGGCGTGATCTTTCCTGCTGCCTCAGCACGTCGCCATTGCACCTTGCCTTTGTAGTCAGGCCGCGCCAGAAGATGCCGCTGACTTGCTCGGTGAGTTAGTCGTGAACAAGCCGCCGGAGCAGGACACGATGGCATATTGAGGGTTGATGCAAAGGTCCGTGTCTTTGGTTCTATATTTAAAACGCTCTGAAGATGTAAAGCAAGATGTCCGCGAAAGTCTCGCGAAAGGAGAATCCGCGAAAGTTAATTGGTTAATTGGTGCCCTTGCCAGAGATGAATAGGGCAGAATGCATTTGTGCAGTTGGCTGTTGCAGGACACCGGCACTGCCTCGGCTGCAGTTCAAGAGGCAGGGCCCGTGGTGGTTTTGATCATCGCGCGTCATCCGGACAATTTGCTGGTGTGTGAAATGCAGACTCCAGTACGCCAGTGAAGCGGAACATCCAGACCTTAGTGAATCGATGTTCCGCCACGCCACAGCCATAGCGTGCCAAACCACACTACGCCATTCAAGTTAGGGTATTTAAACTCTGGTACCCAGGCTCTCTTGGATCTCCTGCTTTTGTATCTTTTTGCCGTCGGCCGTGTTTCGGTACATCTCCGGAACTTTTGCAGGCCATACCTAGCACAGTGCGGTGCTTCACGTGTTGACGTGTCAGGTGCCTGCTGCGGATGTGACGATGAATGTGGCCAGCAAGCCACCTCCGCCACCTTTGCCACCATCAAAGGCACAGACAGAGGCATCTGGGGAGGGGGTAGTCATGATCGGGCACGTTGGAACACGTCAATGTAGATTGGATACGAACATGCTCTGCCGATGTAAAGTGCATTCGTGGGTATCCTAATGCCGCGCAATCGCTTGATTTGTGACTTTTGGAACACACTGTGTGGATTGCTTTCGCCATTTCTGGCTCCAATCCCCATTTGGCCTGTAGCGCAGCAGTCGGTCCTGCCCAGCATGCAGCACCGCTCCCAGTCTCAGTCATCTGGCATCGCAGAGTCGGTGACAGCATGTGGCCACCAAACATTTCCTGCAACCGTGGCAATTCGCTCTTCGAGACCAAATGTCGGCTGGCTTCATTCTACACTACACTTCTCATGGCGATGTATGGCGATGTTCACGAAGGTAATTGAGTAACTGTTACATAATATGTCGCAGTACTTGAATCATTAGATATTAGTCATTAATATTTCCTCGTCGGAGCAACCTGATTTTCTACGAAGGTTTATGTGTTGGATCTGAAATGGGTATCTGCACTCTCTTTGCTGTTCGTCGCAGATGTATCATAAAACTATAAAACTAGTGTTACTTAAGCAACGTACGTGATACTACTCCAATAACAATGAGAACTGGGAGACAGGTCCTAGATGGGACCGCTTCGTTTTGCTCGGAGCTTTGGGAGTGTCTGTGCAAACTCCATGAAGGCAGCTGACCAAACTGACCTGAGAAGCTTTTGTGACTAAGCCCGATAGCAACATGCAATCCTTGTGCATCTATGCCGTGCTGGCCATGATCATGATCGGCCTTCACTGCTCACAGACTCCCCTCGCTGACCAGGAAGGCATGGCTTCGAGAGTTCAACGTGCTGGGCTACTTCTTGAGACCCCAGGCCATGTCAACGATGGAGAACTGATTCATTGTGCAAGTTTCGGGCGGGATACATCCAAACCGCTGTACAAAGTATGTCCCCAAGCACAGGCTGCAAAGCTCATCGCGTCCTTCTTGGAGACCTGTTGTGTGCTCAGTTGCATGATGTTGCGTGACCAAGGCTTCTTCTTGCTGCACAAAAAGTGCCCAGCAACCCTCCAGCTGTTGGCGTCATGTGCTTCCGGTGAAAGCTCGCTCGGGAACTTGCACCCTCAGCAAACCGATCGAGCTTAAGAGAGGAGGTAATCAGGCCTCAAGCACTCATTATGTGCTACTGAGGGGACGCTGAACGAAAGGTTCGGGAGGAGTTTCTGGCAAATGCGGACACCAGACACGCTGCATCCCGTCTAGATGTTTTTAAGTTCGCGGCTCGTGTGGCTGTGTGATAGAGTTAACATGTTCGCTTGGCTTGCACGGCATCCGTGGTCTGCTTGAGCGATGCGATGCATTCGGTGAGGCACAGAGCAACAGCAACATACGTCAATCACCTTTCAGACAAGCATCTGATACTACAGTAGTGCAAACCATTGCCTCCTCCAATTGCTCCAGGCTTTAATGTTCTGCGTTTAGGTTTTCAGGGTTTATGGTTGCCCCACTCACTCCTATCTCTGCACCTGTTCCTGGTGTGGGTTTGCTGGGGAGATGCTATGATGGGAAGATGGAGTACAGTGACATGGGACTCTGAATGTGCAGTCTTCTGAATGCGGCCTGCGACACACAGGTCAGGTATCAACAGCAGTGTACGCCAAAGTCTCTCAAGTCCTGCTCCCGACATAGTCAAGATCCATCAAGTGCCAGCTTGCCCCAGGCCAAGAGGCAGAAAGAGAAAAAGCGATTGAAGACTTGATCGCGCACACCAAGGTTGGTCAGGGTTCATGTCTCTTCGGAGCTTCCCTTCGCGTCATTGCATGTGGAGCAACAGAGTTTCGTGAGCTTATTCTCGCTTGGCAAAGGGCTGTCAGAATCAAATGTCCAAGCTGGTGGCAGAAATTCCAATGGCACAACGTGCAGACTGCCCAACACACCAACTCTACGGCACACGGGCCTCAAAACAGCAAATCCCCCAAGTACCAGCAGCTGTGGCAGTGGGCACGCGCTTTTGCAAAAGAAGGCGCGGCTGGACGAGCTCACCGTTTTCACTCCCGTCATCGATGAGGAGCTTGTCAAAGCGGCCGCGGGCCCAGGATTGCCTTGGGAATTTGTCCCAGTCACGATGCAAGGAAGATCATGAACGAACAGTTCAGACAAAACCATCTACCTGAAGCTCCATCATGAAGAAGCCCCACGAATCAGAGATTGGGACATCACCGCTCATCCCTGTCATCAATTGATCTATGAAAGGTTGCGGGACTTCTAACCTAAAGCCCCACCCCACGCATCAGACAATCTCATGGAAGACACGCCTCCGGCTTCACTCGAGCCTGGTCACCGAGACTGCCTGTACCCAGAACCTCAAGAAGCTTTCATCTTTAGACTCGCCTGTCTTACGCGCAGTTATATCAATATCAGGTTTAGTATGGTTTAGTTTCAGTTTCAATGTAGGCCTTGATTATGACGTTTTGGATGGACCTCTCCTTCCTGCTGTGTTTCTACCTGGAAGCTGTAGTAGGTAGACTGCCCGCGCCAAACGCATGCTACCTTCAACGACCATTCTCCAACATCGCAGTTCGCTGCCAGGTTGTTGGAGACCTGCTTGAGGCTGGTGGTTCCCAGAAAGGGGTGTATGTTCAGAAGAAGTGCTTGGCTTGGCCATTCTTTTGCCTTCTCTCGCGGGCTGCCATTCGTCATATTTAGAGGTTGTCGCTTGTTCTCATGTTTCTATCCTCACAACGCCTTGGTGCAGCCTTGACAGGCATCGGCGGGTCCCAGAGAAGATGCAGAGGAGGTCGAGTGGCTTGTTTGTCCCTGCTCACTGCACACGCCAAATGCCATGGCTCTGACACTGCTCGTTGGACGCGGCTTCGCCAGATGAACAGGAGTGGTGTCATATGAGAGTTTAACGAAGTCGGCCACGTCATGTTCCCTGCAGGGCATTCGGGTAGGCAGTCTACATGAGCCACAGTCGCGAAACCCCGCGTAGGTCCTGCTCAAGGTTTTGCGCTTGGCGCGTAGGCCCGCTTAGGCCAATATTGACTGCCCTCGTGTGCTTGTTCTGCTACCAAACATGCATTCACACGTTGCCAGCGCAGAAGAATAACAAAATGCTACCAACCCAAGCAAAACAAGCACTGCGCATAAGAAGTAAGGAGTCACTGATCTCAGGGTTGGTAGACGACAAGCTTCGGAATCTAGCCGTGAGCAATGCGAATGTGATGAGGCTACCCCCTTGAATCATGAAATGGAAAACAGAAGCAATGGCAACCTGGACAGCAGCAGAATGGTGCAATCCTCGAACAGCCCATTATATATCATGAGCTATGTGCCTCGGCGAATGGGACACCCAGACTTTCCAGAGTGCTTTCCTGCAGCCAAAGGCCGGAAGCTTCGTTGTGGTCTGTGTTGAACATTGTTGAACCGTGGTGGGATTTTCCCGACATTCTTGCCCAGCCTGCACACATACTTGGCCAGCCACAACATGCCGGAATTTGGGATTAAGCAGCTGTTGACTGACAGGACTGGGGGGCCGGCGAGCGACCGTACTCCTACACTGCGCAACCCGGCATGTTGGCTCAAGAAATCGCGACGCAAGATGTCGCAAACTTGCATCTTTCGAACTTGCGAGTAGCTTGCAAGAATCATGGTTGGAGGTTTCTTGTGGAGAGTGTACTGCTCCATCCTCTCTTGTGTGTTCCCTCCCTCCCCAGCGGTTATGAGCGATCACTTTTATCATGTTGTAAGAGGTTGCTCTCGGTGGAGATGAAATCTCATGTTCAGGCCAGTATTGTGTAAAAGCGGAACCCCCCACCCTCCACAAAAAACAGAATAACCCTCAATACAGTATTTATGAGAAGCCAGCCGGCTCACGGAGACGTCGGTTCCAGTATCGATTCCGGTATGGGTTCCAGTACTAAGCTTGTACTACAAATTAATGAAATTCCGCCGGCTCGCAGAAACGTCGATTTCAGTACCGGGCTTGTACTGCAAATCAAGGATGCCAACAAGGCGATAGGTTTTGTGGCAATGTTAAGCCGAAGTCCTGCAAAGCGATAAGGCCCCACCCCAAAAAAAACGACAGCCCGCTCTCAGCAGGCAGCTGGTGGAGCCTTCTACGAGGTGCCAATCTTGAGACGATTTGAGAAGTTGTTGCAGGTTGTTGAATAGTTCTTGCGCCACGAGTTCGTATTTGAGAAATGGACCCGGCTTTGCACCCATGCCTTTAGCCGCGGCTCGAGTTTTGGCCACACCAAATATTCCCCAGGCTGCACGCGGACTTCGAGCTCCTGCAGCGCTTGGCCGCCAGAGTTTTCGTTGCCTTGCAGGTGGGGATGGCCCTTGCAGGGCCATGTGCAATGATTCAGTGGTCTACAGCAATTACGAGCGTGGATGCGCCCAACTGCTTTAGCTTCTTTTCCGCAGTGATCGCCGGACAAGGCGACTGCCTGACGTGGAAGGTTAGAGCGCATGTCCTTGCAGGGCCTCGGCGGCTGTGAGATTTCGCATCTCCGCTGGCGCCAGGTGGCGCAGTCAGTTGAGCACTCGCTTGGGACCCTTGTTGTTGTTCTCTTCGCCAGCTGCACAAATTCGGCGCGATCCCCCGAAGTATTGCTCGCGGTGCCAGGCATCACATCGCTGTCGCGGGCCTGCCCGGCGTCTGGCGAATGCTGTTGCCGCGGTGCCACATAGCAAGTTTCCGCGAACCTGTAAGCAGCTCTGTTCAATGCAACTGCGCAGCTGGCTTTATCAACTTGCACGCAGGAAAATGCTTTTTGGCCGAGGTGCGCACTGCACTGCTGCCAGATTCAGATGCAGGCTTCTGATCTCGCCACTTCAGTAGTTTTTCGTGCAGCTGCATACGCCATACGCCTTTGCCTTAATCGGGACGGATGCGGCGGAGACAATGTGAGGTGAGCGCATGTGCTACAATAAACTTCATCTGCCAAGAGTTCGGGTTTACACGTTTGGACAATGCAGCTCGAGATGGGCGACGATGCG